TGAGGAGCTGATGGCAGTGTGCACCCGCGGTGGTCACCATGGAAACCTCAGACACAGCCCCAGTCCCACAGCTGTACGTGCAGGCATAGGTCTCGTTAAATAGGATTCTGAATTCAGAGCACGCTTCACAGAAATGGAGCGTTTATGAAACGGAAGCTTCTGACATCAGCTCTGAGCTTTGAGGATATGGGTATGATGCCTCCCGACTTTAGATTCCCTACAAATAAGTGATGCCATCGTCATCAAATGTTAGTTACTGAACCCGTGGATTTCTCCTGTACATGGCAGCTCTTCTCAGTAAGCACTTTCGAGGGCGGCCTGAGCTAACTCGCGGTGCCTTCGTGCACTGAGTGGCATGCAGACCACCTCTCTATCATGTTCGTGATACCGCTGCACACCGTACTCTTGGGGAAGGTAAGAGCATGGGGGTTGCCTGTGGCCCCCAGGAGATGGCTGGTGCAGGAGGATGGAGGAGGGGGCCTGCATGCACAGGAGGTCTCTCTGCCTCTAAGACCACGCTGGCCTTGGAGCAGGTGCCAAGGAGCTTGGCTGGTGGGCCACACTGTATGTGAATGGTCCCCAACAGCCAGACACAGGACGGTCAGTCCCCAGGGGAGGGGTCCTCGAGGCCAAAACACGGTGTCCGCAGGGCTGGTGCGCTGAGAGCACTTTAGCTTTCCCAGCATTCTGAGCTTGGCCACGGCCCATCCTGGGGGCAGGTCACTGATCATTAGCTTGGAGGTGCTATGGGCCATTTTGAAGTTGAATGAAGTTGATAGGTTTTAATGCTTGATGGGTGAGACCTGTAGTGGTTTCCAAAAAGCCTTTACATCTTTGCATTGCTACAGCCCATCTGAGAAGATGGAACTTACATGCTGAAGAGCCAAGTGAGCTGACACAGAAAGGAGAGAAGGAAATTATCAGAACCCATGGTTAGCTTACAAGCTTTAGGTCAGGCTTCTGAGAAAAAGCAGGACCTCTGTGTCAGGATGGACTTGACTTTGAGGAATGAAACCATTGTTTTACTTTTGTTATGTTCTTTGCATCTGATGCTGCGATTAATTATGGTGAACTGTGGAGTGAAATGTGTCTTGTCTTTTTACTGGACAGTTTGAAGGAAGGGCCATGAGGGCTGAGGGGAGCGGAGGGGCACAGAGACCTGTGTGTGCACCCCTGACAGTGTCCTGTCCCCTCAGATAGTGACCAGAGGCTGCGAGACCGTGGAAATGACCCTGCGGAGAAACGGGCTGGGCCAGCTTGGCTTCCACGTGAATTTTGAGGGAATTGTTGCGGACGTGGAGCCTTTTGGCTTTGCCTGGAAGGCTGGCCTACGCCAGGGGAGCCGGCTTGTGGAGATCTGCAAAGTGGCTGTGGCCACGCTCACCCACGAGCAGATGATCGACTTGCTGCGCACGTCTGTGACGGTGAAGGTGGTCATCATCCAGCCCCACGACGACGGCTCGCCCCGCAGGTAAGTTACGGCAGGGCCTGAGGAGGCTCGCCCCACCTCGGCCTCAGTGGGCGCTGCCCTAACCCCTGCCAGGCCCTGGGAAAATGTCATGCTGGGCGTCCGCGACCAACTTTGTTTGGACACCAACCATTAGAACAATTTAAAAAGAGCTTTAACAAGTTCTTAGCAGATAACACATGATAAATTGTAATTTCCTGAGTAGTTAAATGGAACACTGACCCCGTGAAAGCTAAGGTATTAGACACTCAGGAGCCGGCTCACCTGGACCAGTGCGGCTTGCATCTGAGAGGAAGGGTCTTCATCACAGCTCAGCTTTAGCAAGTCAACTCTTCTCTGTGCTAGGACCCCTTTCCCTAGTGAAGTCATTGGTTATTGACGGGATGTTTGAGGGATCAGTGCCTGCATGTCTGAAGGAATGCCGCACTTCACATATACTCTGCGTGGTGACCGCTGCGTTTTTCTTGAACTGTTGGGACATTCTGATAAGCTGTCATGAGAAACATGAAAAGAAGTGGCGAGACTTGGAAAGCCCAGAAACGGGTGGGTGGAGGGCAGAACAAGGGTGGAATAGAGGTGCGCACACATTCCAGTGTTAATAGAAAAGAGAAAAGAGTCGTGCTCGACATCAAGAACACATTAGAACACAGGAGAAAGCGGGCTGAGTAAGAGCAGGCCACGCATCTGGCTGTGGCCGCCTCCGTGCCGCAGACTGGCTGGCAGGAGTATTTGGAACGTGGTCTCTCCATCGCAGAAGGCACACTTGCAGGCCCTTAAGAACTCTGGCTTTGCAAGGTGACTTGTGCCTGGGGCCAAGAGTGAGCTGTGCAATGGGTGACTCAAGCTCTCTGGGCCTCACTTAGTGTCGCTGGGCTGGGGATTATCATAGCACCTGCCCCCTACCGCTCCTATGAAGATCAGATAAGATGGTACATAGAAAGTACTTAGTGCCTTCTCGCGTGATAGACACCCCAGCGTGTTAGTTTGAAAAAAACTTAAGATCCTTATTTGAATGTTTGCACACTCTAAAAGAAAGTCTTCTCATTCAAAATCAGCAAGCTTATTGTGCCTGCTTTCTGAACTTCCTTCTGAGGACATTTTTTCTGCCTTCTCCATCTCCTTTTATCAGCCTCTAAAACCAGCACTGTCCAATAGCACTTTTTTGCATGGATGTGTCCCCTCTCTGTACTGTCCACAACAGTAGCCATGAGCCACACATGACTACTGCACACTGGATATGCGGCCAGTGCGACTGAGGAGATGAATTTGTCATTTTAATTAATTAGTTAAGATTTAATTAGCCGCATGTGGCCAGTGGCTGCTATATTGGATAGCTCAGCTCTGAGCCACGATCTCCTTTCAGAGAGAAAGCACCAGCGGTGGCCCACCTGGCTCTCTGGGTCACATACACAGTGCTGTGACAGTCAGTTTCTACCCGTGACCTCACCGTTTGCTCCCTGCTGGCCTTTCTGCAGCCTTGATTCTGTCTCTGCCCAATAGATTTACAAAATAAAGGGTTAGGAGCTGAAATTCCTCCAGAGAGTAACAGCCACACGTCACGGACACGTCCAGGATGGGGCTTGTTGCCTTGCCAGATTCCGGCAGTTAAATCCGTTTGCTCCCCAAAAAGCCGTGAATCAGAGTGGCCCAAGTACAAGGAAGGCAAAGACAAACACTGTGTCATTGAAAACAAGACTTGGAAATAATACGAGGCAAATCCTTTAGACCTTTGAAGCTACAACATTGTGTAAGCAAAGGTCTTTAAAAATAAATTCTAAGCCAGTTGTGAGAAATATTTTCATATAGTAAGATTTCTTTCCTCCTCTGGTAGCGTTAAAGGTTTGTGAATCTTATGGTGAGAGTCAAGTTTTTGATCTGTCTTAGAGGCTGACTCCTGCCCGAGAATCAGACAAAAGTGGTGCCGTGCGCTCCCTTTGGGAAACATTCCTATCTTTAGCTTTGACCTACCTTTGCTCAGCAAGGCATTTTTAAAGCTTTCAGGAGATCTGGTTAATAGAAATGTTAATGTTGTCATTCTGTTTGGCAATTAAAACATTTGATTTAAAAGAATAGAATGTCCTAAGAAATACTGAATTTTAGGTAAAACAAACAAAAACTACCATTTAAAAGTTTTGGAAGTGATTTTTTTGTACCCAAGGACATGTTAACTGCCTGGTCTGTGCATAATTAATTCTTTCTTTGTGTTCAATATAACTTCTCTTAGTGAAACTATTCAAGATATTTAGAGATTTTGCCTTGTTTCCTAGGCGTCTCATTAATGCCGTTTCCCGAAGATATTGATTTTTCTCTTGATTTATCTGGAATAACGGTTTTCTGTGTTTTAACTTGAGCCAGAAGTGGAATAGCTATTTGCCTGATAGTAACCCTCCAAAATCTGCATGCCTATCATCTGCACTTCTTCAAGCTTTGGTTTTAAGCCTAGCATGCATCATTTAAAATGCTTTCAGTTCATTTCCCCAATGCTCTATGAATTTGAATTTGTAAATGTTTAAGTCCACACATGTGTCTGGGATCCTGTTCTGCCTGTGACTGTCTGGGCGCCTGGTGAGGTGCTGGTTGTTAGGCTGCTTTGCATTACGAGAAGTTACCCTTGCAATCCCAGACCTTTGCTTCAGACTGCTGGGCACGTATGAGACGTCATTTTAAATTTCATCCATGCTCTAAGTGAGTTCAGCCTTCTGCATCATTAGGTTTTTTAAGAAACTAGAGGAAGGCCTTAAAAGGGAAATGGGGAGCATGTGACTCATTGTAAACATTAAAATACAAGCCTTTTAGGTGAAGCATTGCTTAGCACCATCAGTTCAATAGCAGAATATACAGACAGGCCTCAAGCTGAAAGTACGTGTTTGATGCGTGGCATGAAAAATCAGCCCCACCTTCTTTCACAAACTGGCTCTTCGTGCTTACCAGGAAAGGGGCAAAAGAAAACATTTGTTTACATGGACGTGTGTGTGTGTGTGTGTGTGTGTGTGTGTGTGTGTGTGATTTTTTTCTGTTGGCCTTTAATGTAAGCACCATAAGGACTACCACAATGGCCCAGTTAATGAATTGCATGATATTTCAGTCTTCGTAAACATTGTGAATAATAGTGAAAATGCTTCCATTCACTGTCATTTATCAGCTTGATTCCTGTCCTGCAGGGTATCAGTGAGAAACCATCCCCCTCGGAGCCCATCTGCTCCTGTCAGCAGTGGGCAATGCCTGTCATTTCATAGACTCCCCCCTGGTTGTCTGAGGGTCAGGAGGTGTTTGCTTATGACTCAGAAGCTGCCAGATCAAATGAAGTCTTTAGTTGGGAAAGTATTTACGTTGAATCAAAAGCTACCTCACTTTTGAAGTCCTGTCTCCTTCTCAGGCCTCAGGGTGGTGATAATGCATCTGTTCCTCAGCTTGAAAGGCAGGCAGGGCTGTCCTTGCTTTTCCTTGTGGCGCTGCAGAGCATGCCAAGGGGAGGGTCCCCTTTGGGGGTGCTTATTAAGCGATCTCCTGCTGGGACTGGATTGGGAGTGAGTTCACACGGATTGGGAGAGTGGCAAGGAGCAATGTGGGAATAGCTCTGCTCAGAGGTAAACGAAGCATACGGAGGAGGGTGCTTCCCCAGCAGAGAGGCAGAAGGGCCTGGGAACCCACTCGACTGAGCTCTTCCTGGGTCTAAGGGGAAGGGTGTGGCCCCAGCCGCGCCCCTCCCCCCCCCCAGCCTTCAAAGGTGACTTGACATTCTATCAGTGTCACCTTGAGGGAAGCACATCAACTTAAAAGGCCTATATAGAGGAAATAACAACTCATCAGAATTATGCATGAGTTGTTATGCAGTGTGAGTGATTTAGTAAAATATGCCCAATAAAAATGGAAATGAAATTCCTTGCTGGGGTGCATCTGTTTTGTGTGATTTTTTTCATACTTTGTTGACATGACATATTTTTCTACATAATGCAAAACAGTGGAAATTATCTCATGTTGTCATGAATCTAAATTGTGGTTCTCTCGTCATTCTATAAAATTGAAGCTTTATGTTCTTGTCTTTTGTGTTGCTGCCTGTTGCCGGACCATTCAACTCCCTGAAGTACACAGAGGGTGATGTGGAAATAGAAACAGGAAGAACTTGATTTGGTCAGATTAGCAGTGTGTGTGTGTGTGTGTGTGTGTGTGTGTGTGTGTGTGTAGATGGTGAGTTGAAACCTGGACTAAAGTGAGATTTTAGATTTGAGTTCCAATTTATTTTTATGGATAAGAAAAATTAGTTATATTTGACATTATCTTATGAGCCCTGAAAAAAAATACAGAACTTATGGTTCTCAAAGTAACTGAACCACGCTCACTATTCTGAGTTCCTTCAAAATAATGTGTAGATTACTCTTGTCACTTCTTGAAGTAAGAACACTTAACAGAATTAACACAAGGGAGGTGGCCTCACATTTACTCATTCATTCATCCATTCATTCATTCGCTCTTACCAAGTTTGTGCCAGAGATTGGGCTGGCGCTGGGACTGTTAAACTGGGTACTTTCATGAACTTCTTTTTGTCACCTGGCATTCTGAAATACAGTAGTTCCCATTCATGTTTTTGCTATTTAAACATAGTTTTCTCAAACTATAACAATAGCATATTACTTGATAATAAGTATCTCAGCACAGAAAACACCCTCACCCTCTCTAGTTAATAATCTGTATTTTAGGACCACTCTGTTTTGCAGTTTAGAATGTTGTAATGCTCCTGACACTGTGACAGGAATGCAAATGGTGACAGTAACATATGAGCTTTCTGTTAGTTAGACAAATAACTGTCTCACGCCTGACAAGTTATACCATGCCGTGATAATGGGCAGCCAATGGATGTTCTCCCTGATGGAAATATTTCCACGGAAAATCAGGCATCAAAGAGCTATTGAGAACCTTCTATGTTTAACTTTGAAGCATATAATGCAATAAAATGTTATTCCTGGCCTCAAGCTTTGTAAGCAAAAAAAGGAAGGGGTTAGCTT